AGTTGTTGCCGAGATAAAGATGTGTTACTTTTACTACTCAATTAATTGTTCAATTATATAAAATCTCTATAGTCCATGCCACATTTTCTGGTCATACCTACACCTACTACAGATACGCGCGTTTGACCGAACCGTTAGATTTACATATTCCATGGAAGATGGATCTAAAAATAATTATTGTTAGCTTGCTGTGGAAGGAAGAACGAGAAAATAAACTTCAAAAAAGAAGCATAACAACTGCGTGGATGAAATTTGCAAAAAGAGAAACATAGAAAAGGAATTTACTATTTTATTTCCTGATTTAATCGATCATTTAGAGTAATTTTGAATGAATTAAGAAAAATATTCTTATCTATTGTGAAAATTGATAGCACAGAACAAAATACAACGTTTAGAAAGTCTATTCCGATAGATGTGTTTAGTATCATCAATTTAAAATAACATTGTGAATCAATTGATACACCAATACAACATAGGAAGGGTGAATAGTTCAGTAAATGCGAAATACTTATAGGAAATTCTTTGTGACTTTGTGGCATTTACACAACTGTAAAATAGGCAGTAAACTGGGAGATATACTTTAAACTTTGTACTAAAAAGTTGCTGGTTTTCACCAAGAGAAACGGATTTCTAGATAAAATTTAATGAATGAACCGAGTTTGTTACAAACATTTCACGACCAAGTGTCAAGAGAAAGGTTGAGTCTCGCTTGAAGTAAGAAGATCACAACTTTGTGAACGTTAAATTTTTACTTAATGTTTGCGACATCAATTTATTTTGTTCGTACTATTCTCATATTCGTCGTAAAATAATGAGCAACATTCTGAACTGGTTATTGAATAGTGCAAGCTTCTGTAGAGAGTCCTTGTTAAATTAAATGTCAATAGAGTATTTAGCTCTATCCAAAAAAAGTATATACTAAAATTTAACAGAATATTTTTGTTTGATACTTACCATTGTTATAATGGAGTTGATCCCCAGTGGACTGCGAGGGAGGGTCAAAAACTGAACTGTCAGGCGCAGAATCGCTTTGCGCTCTCAGTTGAGCTCGGTGGAACCTGACCTCGTCTTCTACTTTTTCCCGTTGCTTCTTCGACATTCTACCAAACTTTACCGCTAAAAAAAAAGTACGTTTATACATGTTGTAATTGAGATTATATCATTAAAAACACTATATTTTTCAAAAACTTTTCTCTATCTTATCTTGTAACATATAGAGAGCAAGATAATTGAGATAAAGAGATTCTTTGCTTTATCTAATATCATGTATTTATGCGACTTTATTACAGGTTGTTAACTTTTGTTGTTAATTTTTGAACTTTTGAATTAATGTTAACAATTCCTATCCATTTTTACAACAAATACGAAGAGAACTTGGACAACACACAATTCGGTTTAAGAAATGCGATTAGTACAGGTGGGCATTTATTCACCACGTAGGTATTGGTACCACGTTCTAAAATGTGTTTCTAGATGTGTTTTATGTTTATTTCGAGAAGGCTTTCGACATCATTCAATACGGAAAACTTGCAGAAATATTAAGAAAAAATAGGATCTCACGGATAAAATAAAAATTAGCAATGGTATAGCATAGCATGGTGTTCGAAGGACAAAAATACTCCTAAGCCAATAAAAAAAAAATTATAAACGCTAACAAAAAGAGAAAATTAGCATACTTTGAGTATATTTTACATATTATAAAATAACAAGTGCTTTAATATATCCTTCTTTCCCTTTATAAGCAATTCTGCTTGTTTTTTTGTCACTCTATCTTTTGACTTCGTTTTAATTTATTATTCAAGCTAAACTAATGGTAAAGGGGTCGAAGTCATCGCAGTACTTCTTCACCTATGTACAGCAGTTGATTGCCAACGTTTGATAAAATACTGTAAGCTAAGAAGCTAAAAAGCAATTTATCATTTACCATAAGATTTAATGTCAGAGTTTGATTGACCTGTAGATATATCCATAGATTAATGTAAAGGATGTGTAGGATAGTTCAAATGGTAGAATATTTGACTAGCATATGTAAGGTCGAAACTTCTATAGCTGGTACAGGCAAAAACACCGAAATATTTTTTAAAATAGCTAAGGATTTCAGATTGATGCAGTCTGAAAATTAATACCTTAAGGAAAATTAAAAAATTAAAAATGTGAAAGCCTTTTTACAATACAGAACACAACAAACACAACAGGCATATAACCACTGTAAACGAATCAATCAAAATGAAACGAATACTTTAGTTAGACAAATAAAAGCGGAACACTTCCAGAATTTCTCAAAACAGATGAAACATGACTTCTATGAAACACAATCACACTTCATATGAAGAATGATCAGGGGACAAAGAAAAGAGATGAATGAACTAATAAAAACGAAACAAATTCAGAAGGAAACATGGGCAGACTGCTTTCGATCAATATTTTCTAAAGGTGACGATAATGATATGCAGACGATACAGTTACTTTAAGTGATGACATGAATGGATTACAATGCTTTTTAAATGCCATTGATACAGTGGGAAGAGAGTTTGGCCTAAACATAAACTGTTCAAAAACAAAACACATGGTGTTTAGTCGTTTAGCACATCAAGATGCACGATTATATGTTGATGGTCATATAATTCAAAGAGTGTCCAGTTTTAAATATCTTGGTTGCCATATTACTGAACCAACTAGATCCAGATCAAGAAATAAAATGTAGAATGGAGATAGCCCGCACGACATTTTTAAAAATGAGGTCATTCTTCTGTAATGATAACTTGAAACTTCAACTTCGAAAGCGTATGGTTAAATGCTACATTTGGTCAGTCCTCTTATACGGTTGTCGAAGCATGGACATTAAAAATATCCACCATTAATCGTCTGGAGGCCTTTGAAATGTGGCTGCACAGACGTATACTAAAAATCCCATGAACGGCTATGCTGACAAATGTGGCAGTCCTTGAGAGAGCAACTGCTGCTCCCGAGCTGCTTGATAACATCAAATGTAGAAAGATGGCCTATTTTGGACACGTAGTAAGGGGAGACTTAATGAAGGGGAATCACAACGAAACAAAATGAAATAGTCCCAGAAATCAAAAGACCAGACACAGATATAATAGTCTTGAGTGAAACAAAAAACAGGGTCAAGAAGAAGAAATTATAGGGAAATAAACACAAAAACGGAGTAAGGTTCGCAAACATGAAAGAGCAGCAAAAGGAGTATAAATATGAAAAAAAAATTAAACCAGCAAATAAATGATCGAATAATTGAAATTAGGATGAACATATTTGGACAACCAAGAATAATTTTTGGAGTATACGCAATGATTTTTTCAACGTGCTAAACGATATATTAGACAATGCAAAGAAAAAAGAGAAGATATTTTAACAGCCACATAAGAAAAGAAGATGAAGATATAGTGGGACGATTCGTAGAAGACGAAATTAGAAAAGACAGTGGAAGTCGTCCATACATATGAGAGGAATCCAGTAGAAACCAAAATCTAACGATACGGTAAATACAGGAACGACCTAGAAGAGATGATTAAAAAGAAAAAAAAAATACGTTTCATTAATGGGTTTATAAGGGTGTGCAATTAAAATCGAAGCAAGAGAAGAGATTTCAGATGAGTGGAATCTATCATACATGTCCTCCATTTTCGACAAAAGGTGACAAAAATCAACAAATTACTATAGAGGGATCAGTGTAATGCCTATAATGCCAAGATTCTTTTCACAGTTATAAAAGAAAAAATAGAACAACACATGGACCACTATGGCAAAGAACATGCGCGATTCTGAAAAACCAGATCATGTATAGATAATATATTCATCATAAGACAAAAGATACAAAAGAACAAAGAGAAAAATATTCAAACACATATGACCTTTTAACTTAATAAGAAAGCATATTATAGCGTACTTGGGAAACAACTAATGAAAGCAATGAGAAGAATTCAGGGCAGAAAAAAGGCCTCAAGGAGGGATGTGATATATCATCGACACTTTTTAATATATACATAGAAAAGGTTTTAAAAAGATGTAATATAGAAAATACCAAACAATGGGTATACCAGTACCAAAGAATGTACTTCTATATCACTACTTCTCCCAAATAAATAAGTCATCTGTGCACATGACAGGGAGGAGATGAAATATATTAAGGAAACGGAAAAAGAAAGAATATGAGCTATGGGGCTCATGATAAATATGTGTAAGACCGAATACTATGTATTACAATACTTATGTAATATAAAATAATTTTGCAAGTATTTCAGAGAAGGGTTTAAACTAGGTCAAATTTGCTTTAGTTGATTGGTGTAAAGAAAGTCTTCGAAAGAATAAATAAGTCAAACCTACATTTGGACTTTACAACTATTATCAAAGTGATGGATTCAACCGTTACTGAAGACGAATCTCCTGTGATCACAGTTGAAATCTCGAGGAGAAAAAACAAAACAAAGCCAACCAAAGACCAAATGGTACGATGGTATCAATAGCCAATATTTATTAGAATATAAAATTATATTCGACCTAAGACTTGTTTTAGTTTCAAACCTTAAAACTTGTCATTTTCAGTATTTCTACAATGACATTGTTTTTGACTATTTTTATGACATTTTAAAATTCTTCTATGGTCATTTCTGACACTAGCTTTAATTTCTGAATATTCTTTATTAGTTTTTTACAGAAAGCCTTGAAATATTCACCTTTTCAATGACTTTGTACAATTATTATTTTCTTATTCTTAGTAGTTTTTTTGTCTAATTTCCTTTTAATGCGGATTATTTTATTATCTGATGGTTTTTATTCGCCATTATATTTTTAAATATATTTTAAAATTTTTTAACTGTTCATATTATTTTTTTTATTCATCCAATATTAGAATATTAGCAATTTGACTTAAAATGACCTCAATATAAGTGAAATAAATAAATATGCTAGTAAATATAGACTACATTTTTGTAGTAACTTATTCATGTTTTCAATTATATCTAATTATTTTAAAAACTAACTTACCATCCCGACTCATACCCAATCGTAGACATTTCTGTAAACGACAGTACTGGCATCTGTTTCGATTGACCCTATCGACTACACAATTCTTATTCCTCGGGCATTGGTAGTTGACCACCGAACTCTGGGACCTTCGAAAAAATCCTTTGCACCCCTCACACGTGATCACGCCGTAATGCACGCCGCTGCTCTTGTCCCACATACTTTGCACGGGATTATCTCAATTTGGGCTGAAACAAACAAAAAAAAAAGTTAGTTTTCCTGCTGAAAACTTCATCCACCGCGATCATTTGGCGTATCCACCATTTTAGTGAGTATTCGATATTTTGGTGGAGGCAACGCAGACATTGCTATTATTCATATTAGTTGTAATAATTATTATTAATTATTGCAATAAAAACCTTTGCCAATAAGAAAGTAATAATGTCTAGATATATTATTTCACAAATATCTACGTTAAAATTGATATGTAAATGTTATTTTTAGTTTCGAATATAAGTGGTCAAATACTTTTTAACGATATCACCAGGAAGTGGTTATTAATTATGAAATGCTTAAATTATGAAATTAAGTAACTTAATGAAGTGCAAAATATGGGATATCTAATAAATTAAATTTTTAATTGAACTTTGTAGTAACTAAGTGTTTGGTAAAGTTATCGTATACGTTAATTACTGTTTTTAGCACTTATTGTAATGTATCAAGACTCTTTGCTATTACTATCATTTCAACACTTTCTGCTATCACCATCATGGTGTCTGCGTGTTCCAAGTTAGTGATATATACACCGGTGATGTTAATATTATTCGATATGTAAAGCACTGGTTGATAGTTATATTATTAATATGTATATATTTAAGTCATTAAATATATTACGCTTATAGTTTTTATCAAGCAATCTTCTTACAGCCTTTTGCTATTAGGTAAATGGATTTCTTATATTTTATTAACGTTCCTTATATTTCGCACTGGTATTTTATTGTCTATAACAGAAAGGAAATTTTAGATTCTTTGATCATTATAATTTTATACCTAAAACTAAGTATCAGAAGTCCCATGCAAAATTTAACTGGTTGGGATTATATTTCGTAAATGGTTTAGTATACTATTCAGATAACATTTAGAATATTTAGTCATTAACAAAGGAAAGTTTTCTTTCAAACAAAATAAAACGCTATAAATGGCACAGACATAATAACTATGGAATTAATAGAGAACATAATATTGGATACATATTATGGAAGTAGATTCATGAAATAATCCGCAATCCGGTCATTTTAGAATACTTAACATTAGGAATCTTATTTTCCATAGAGAAAAAGGGTACAACATAGTCTAAACATAATAAATACCCTTAAATGTTATTGATAGGATAAAATATATTATCAGGACATATATCATAGGAATGAGCTGTTTGAAGAAAATAATAGATGAATAATACTGCAGTTTTAGATCGAATGGTAAGATATTATAAATGTGAAATAATTTGAGTACATTGCCCAAAGTGTATATTAATGTCAAACCAGTTCAATCGAGTGAATAGGCAAAAGCTCCTACAACAATTGAACTCATTGGATATACCCAAAAAGTTAGTTTAACTTCTTAAAATAATTATGTACAAAAATACACGCATTTTCAGGCGATATTGCCATAGTAATTCACACCAAAAGCAAGTTTAGCGAGAAACTATATAGTTGAAATTAAAAGCCTCTATGAGGCTAGGAAACTAAGCCCTTAAACCTCCATGAACAAGATGTAACTAAGTAAATATCCTAATACCAAGTAAATAACGAAAAAGACGATTTTCATGAAACTTTGTATACAGGTGCAATACTTCAGATGTAGCAAGTTTGACCGATGAGAATAATAATTTTAAAAAAATCACTTAAAATGTTTAAAATACTGGCAAAATTGTACATCTTCATAATGGGCAAGCCTACTAATTTATTTACTAGTAAAGAGTAAAAACGTAACATCATATGTTATGTTTTTTTTATTAAAACAAATATATAGTAGGTAACTGTTGACAGAGCAATTCACAGTAAGAAGTTGGAGAATAAAAATGGTTCATATACGTGAAAAATATTGTATTAAATATTAATTTTGATCGATGATCGTGTTAGAACAGATTTCAAAGAAGTTAAATGGATGAAAATTGTCTAAAATACGTTTATAGACTCATTTTTCATAGATGGAAACTTGAGTGGTAACAAATACTCAGATTTACTAAATAACCTGCGCCTCAACTTCCCCATTATTAATTATGAACGGGTTAGAAACTTTTTGAATAGGAATATTTCAAATAATGGATTGGACGTAGAGGATTCAAAGAGTGATCTGCTCGTTCTCCAGACCTTAATCCGTTAAATTTTTTTGGGGTTTTCAATGCGTGGAAAGTCTTGGAAAAGAATTACTCATGAATTTCACGAAAGTAAAGGGCCGCGTTGTAAGAATAATACAACAACAAATAACAAAGATAGAAACTACAAAGAAGATAAAACAGAAGAAGCCTGAAAAAAGATAAGATCAAAATAAATCAATCTAGAGATATGCTTTTGTCAAAATATACTTGTCTAAATAAAAACCTCAATAGAAACAAGTATTTAGGCAATAAAAATTACGAAGTGTGCTTAAAGTATGGAATACATGTATCAAACTGTAAATCAGCAAAATATATTGTGAAAACATTTTCTGAAATTTAGATTTATATTTGGAAATACCTTATTTTTGTAGTACTTCCAGACAGCTATTATTTACCATCATACAGTGCGCGTTCAACTCTGTCCTCGCCACATATTTTTGAACAAATTTAATTCACAACTTCAATTAATAAAATTTTAAGTAACTGAACTAACTCATCCATTCATTGAGAATATCTTAGAATATCTCAGTTATACAATTATTAGAAATCATATACAGGCAACTTCGACTATTTTAACTTGGATCATATGGTAAGCAATACATCATCATCTTAAGTCATTTAAAAGCTCTTATTTATATCAGTATATTCTTAGATTTTGTTCAATTCTGCCACGTCGATTCAACAGGGCGACAGTTAAATGATCAATGCGATAGTGTGGATTATTTCTAATAATTTGGAAGCCTTCAGCTTTTATCGACAATGTTCGAAGAGGTCAATTTATTTTTCTAGTTTCCCAATTCTGGTATAAGTCAATGTCTATTTACAAGAAAATGTCTCACTTCTTTTGGATCAAACATTACATTAATCTAGATTGCTGCACACGTTGGCATTTTAGGTAATGAGACACCTGATACTGTTGCAAAAGAAGCAATTACAATTAAATCAGACATTAAATCTATTTAACTACATAGATCTAAAACCACTTTCAGGTCCCAAATTAAAAAGTCCTAGCAGAACGAATGAAAGAATTCAACCTCGAAATTACACAAAATACAACCTACTATCGAAAACTTTCAGCTACCTAACTTAGGTAGAAGAGAGAAAAAAATTAATCGTTCGCAGGCTAAGAATTGGTCACACACGGCTGACACATGAAGACCTGATGGCTTCGGAGAAATCACCTGTTTGTAAAAAGTGTAGTGAATGATTAACCGTTGAACATATTCTTTCACAGTGTGTGAAATACGAGCAAGAACAAAAAAATACTGTATAGCGAATTTTTTTTTTTTTGAGGTCTTACAAATGTCATCCTTAGCCAATTAGAACTGGTTCAGAATGTACTAGATTTCCTTTGAGAAACAAACTTGTATTACAAAATTTAGTGTTTTCTTTTTTATTACTTTTTCTTTTACAAATTCTCTTTATTGTAAATTATACCTAATGTAATGTAAAATGTAAACCAATTATAAAATGTAAACTAAATTAACCCAGTGTTAATAACCTTGTAGTTAAGACATAATAAACTAAATAAAAAAAATGTTTATTTACTGACATCTGTTAAAATGGGCATTTTTAAAGATACGTAACAGAATCACACAAAAATTTAAAATCATGCTAAGACGTTTCAAATCATGTATTACTTGCGATACGTCTCTGTTAAAATTATTTTACAAAATGGATTCCATTCGCCATTTTAACGGATTGAGTCATTACAACAAAAATTATGAACATATTCTTTAATTCAGTTTCGCAGATGTTTAATTATTTAAATGTTGTGCTTCATAATATGATTAGGGGAAGTTTCTTGGTGTACACTATATAAATATAAAGAAAATTGCCATATTATTATCACCTAACCAATAACTACAATATTTGATTGAATATATTCTATCATATAAGTAAGAAGACAAAATTTACACTTGAGCATGGGTAGAATATAAGGCTCTATCAGACATATTTAAGATCTTTACGAATGTTCACAAAAGAGACTACGAGCAGACAGAAGAAGAACCAAACATCAAAATAATCATTGGTAATTGGCTACAGGAAGCTCAAAACCGACTGAACTGTTAGAAATTAAGGGAGGCCTATGTTCAACTTTAAAGGCAGAAGGATGGATTATGATGATGATATTCTTTCAGAAAATATATTGTGAAAATTGTAATTAATAATACTAGTGGATTTTAAATAATAAGTGGAGATTAATAATTTGCAATTTTTTTAATTGTTGAGACAGCAGCATAACTAAATTATTTTCTTCTCTTTGCTTAAATATGAACTACCAGCCCATGTAAATATTCTCCCAGTTATGCAAATTATGCAAATTCTTTGATTATAATTTAAACATATTTAGTTAGCATACTATAACTTTACCTCTTATAGAATTGGCACTTTTCCTGTCATCCCGATCATCAATTTGTGGTGGAGGAGTAGTAGAATCAGCACTCGATACCTTATCTGTCCTTCCTAACTCTCGACTTTCACCAGTACTCCAACTGCAGCTATCACCTGTACCGAATAACTCGGGAAACGAGTCCATTTTATTCTAACGTCGAACGTTCGACCCGACGTTTCGTCACTTTGTTGTTCTTCCTCACTCGCGACACTATCACAAAAATCTGCACGCCTGCGTGCAGTAGAGCGCATGGCCGAAGGTTGCCGAACCTCCGGTTGCAGAATGATTTCGATTTAAATAGTATAAAAGTTATTTGATAATAGTTTTTTAAGCCTATTTTAGGAGATTTAAATTTTTTAAAAGTCTACTAATAAAATTGTTTTCGTTTACAACGTCTACTTCCATTTTAAACCTGCAAATTTGAAAAAAAAAATGTATACCTAGC